TAAAAAATGTGTATTAATTTCGAAGTGGACTAATGTGAGTTGTGAAATTACAAGAATGATAAATAAAATGTAATTTATTCTCAATATTAAATAAGATTACATCTAACACTAATTATTACATGTAATTTAAATTAAATGTGTAATTATTGCGTACGTTACACTTTTAAACGTGAAAAATGGTCAATACATTTAGCATTTATTCAAAATTTTATCAATCTCACACGTTTTGAAGTGTAAAGTATGCAATTCAAAATTTTGTCAATCTCTCACGTTTAGAAGTGTAACGTATGCAATTATTACATACGTTACACTTCTCAACGTGAGAGATTGACAATACATTTGGCACTAATTCAAAATTTTGTCAATCTCTCACATTTTAAAATGTAACGTATGCACATTTAGAAGTGTAACGTATGTAATAATTGAATACGTTACACTTCTAAACGTGGGAGATTGACAATACATCTGGCACTGATTCAAAATTTTGTCAATCTCTCACGTTTAGAAGTGTAACGTATGCAATTATTACATACTATACGTTACACTTTTCAACGTGAGAGATTGACAATACATTTGGCACTAATTCAAAATTTTGTCAATCTCTCACATTTTGAAATGTAACGTATGCATGTTTGGAAGTGTAACGTATGTAATAATTGCATACGTTACGCTTCTAAACGTGGGAGATTGACAATACATTTGGCACTGATTCAAAGTGTTGTCAATCTCTCACTAGGGATGGCAATGGGGCGGAGTGGGTGCGGGGATATATCACCCGCCCCGCACCCGCATTCCCATCCACTCCCCGCACCCGCGGGAATTTTGCGGGTGCGGGTAATACCCGACCTGCAACTCTAATTATTACAATGTAGTATCTGTTCATATACTTTCTCAACCTACTGAAACACAAAGAACCAATAACGCCTCCACTGAGGCTCGAACTCACAATCTTCCAAATGGAAGTCCAACTCGGATACCATTCTAATTATCACATAAATTATTTTATAAGTTTGAACATAACTCTAAAATTTAATAAGAGTCAATGAAGTTAATCCTTAATTGGAACTAAAATTGTGTTGGTAGTATAAATTGTATTAAGTGTTTACTCATTATGTTATTTGTGTTGTTCCTATTCAATTTTCATTAACAAAAAACTAAGAAGTTTAATTTATTATGCATTTTTAATTATAAAATATACATAAACTTATATAATAAATGAATACTAAAAACAATATAGTGCGGGTGCCCGCACCTATTACTCAAATTGTGCGAGTATTTTAAAACTCATAAGGGCGGGGATGTGGGGAACCCATTAGGTGCGGGTAGAATTGACATCCCTATCTCTCACGTTTAGAAGTGTAACGTATGCAATTATTACATACGTTACACTTCTCAATGTGAGAGATTGACAATACATTTGGCACTAATTCAAAATTTTGTTAATCTCTCACATTTTGAAATGTAACATATGTACGTTTAGAAGTGTACGTAACGTATGTAATAATTGCATACGTTACACTTCTAAACGTGGGAGATTGACAATTAGGGGTGTAAACGAGCCGAGCCGAGCCCGAGCCTGGGTAGGCTCATGCTCGAGCTCGAGCTCGAGCTCGTTCGAACTCGTGAATTGATGCTCGAGCTCGAGCTCGGCAATTGTCGAGCTGAGCTCGAGCAGCTCGACTGTTCGAGCTCGAGCTCGAATTCGAGCCTGAACTCGAGCTCGAGTTTAGGCTCGAATTCGAACTCGAGTTTAGGTTCGAATTTGAGCTCAATTTTGATCTCGAATTTGATCTGGTTGATTTAAAATTTAAACTACTTTGTTTTATGACTATTATGCATACATAATTATTAAACTATTTTAATTTTCCTTCCCTAATTATTATTTTTATATACTAAATATAATATAATTATATTATATATTATATATTATATAATATATTATAAGGCTCGCGAGCGGCTCGTTGAGCCGCGAGCCTACAATACCTAAGCTCGGCTCGTGCTCGTTTAATCCACGAGCTGTTCGAGCTCGAGCCGAGCTCAATTTTGACCGAGTTCGAGCCGAGCGTTGACCGAACCGCTCACGAGCGACTCTCGAGCAGCTCGGCTCATTTACACCCCTATTGACAAAACATTTGACACTGATTCAAAATTTTGTCAATCTCTCACGTTTAGAAGTGTAACGTATGCAATTATTACATACGTTACACTTCTCAACGTGAGAGATTGACAATACATTTGGCACTAATTCAAAATTTTATCAATCTCTCACATTTTGAAATGTAATGTATGCACGTTTAGAAATGTAACGTATGTAATAATTGCATATGTTACACTTCTAAACATGGGAGATTGACAATACATTTGGCACGTTTAGAAGTGTAACGTATGCAATTATTACATGCGTTATTTGACACGATGTTTAACACATCAATTAAAATCTATATATGGGACTGAAATTAAAAGTAAGTTAAAATAGTTTAAACAATCTCAAAATTTACTTTAATTTGCATTATATTATGCGATTAGGGTTGCATTGCATTTAGGGTGCGTTTGGAAACCCGGAAAGTGACTTCCGGAAAATGTTTTCCGAGTTTTCAGTGTTTGACAAGAGGGGAGAAAATGTGGTCAATGAAAAATGATGCATTAGTCAAAGGAAAATATGTATGTTTTGGGGGAAAATGACTTCCCCTTTTCTTTGGGGGAAGTCATTTTCCAAGGGATGCACATGCAAAATTTTCGGGCCTAATTTTTTGCGAGCTTTTAGGAGTCGGCCCACCAAACCCGCAGGCTAGGGTTCATGCAACCAAAGCCCGTCCCATGCGGGTTGGCGGACCCCGCAAGCCGGTCCACGATTTTTTATTTTTTATTTTTAATTCAAAGTTCAAAAAAAATCTACGAATAATATTAATTTTTTTGTATTTAAAAATTAGAAAAAGTTTAATTTTTAAAAATGTTAATAATATATATATATATATATATATATATATATATATATATATATATATATATATATATATATATATATATATATAGAGTGCTATTCAGAAAAGGATTTTATCAAATGTATCAAACAATTAAAATTTTGAAGTATTCAATTCTTTTCATTTTTTTACTCATTTACCGAAAAATGAACCAAATACACAAACACAGTTTTACGTTGTATAGCCAAACACCGGAAAGGAAAATATTTTCTGAAAAATGACTCATTTTCCAAAAGGCATTTTCCTGCTTTAATTTCCAAACGGAGCCTTAGTTGGGGGGATAGTTATGCACTTATTCTGTGCATCCGTATGCACCATGCATGGTGCATACGGATGCCAAAACGACGTCGTTTTATTAAAAAACGCGCATCTCCCCTTTAAAAAAAATTCAGGTTCGATTCCCAGCAACAACATTATATTGTTCATTCATTCTGGAATTTTAGTTTATAGATTATGGAATTATAGTTCATTGATTATGAAATTATAGTTCATCGATTATGGAATTGTAGTTCATCGATTCTGAAATTTTAGTTTATAGATTATGGAATTTTAGTTCATTCATTCTGGAATTTTTAGTTCATCGATTATGAAATTTTAGTTCATATGTTGTTGCTGAGAATCGAACCTGATTTTTTTTTTTTTAAGGGGAGACGCACGTTTTATTAAAACGACATCGTTTTTGCATCCATATGCACCATGCATGGTGCATACGGATGCACAGCATAATTTGCCTTAGTTGGGAATTCACACTAAAATGAAGCCCACAATTCAACCCAATATTAATTAATTAATTAATTTATTTATTTTTTGGGTGAAAGGGAGGGATCCTAAGGATCCCGGGGTTAACATTCAACCCAATATTAATAAGACTTCTAAATGTGTCCATGTGGGTTGGTTTATTAGTATTAGAATTGTGAACTTCTAGAATATAAATTGTGTTTTTAAGTTTTGCAAATTTGTGAATATAATACGGCAAATTACATCATGCACTGTGGTGCATAATGAATTATGCACCGAACTTCTAAACGGCGTCGTTTTGTTTAATGAAAAACAACGACATCTATTTCGCGTCGTTCCGCAAAAAGTAATTTTGTTATTCAATTTATGCAGTTTCATTTCGATATCATAACTACAGTTTTATTCGATATTTATACACTCAAATATGTGAAAATGTTATTTAATTTAATTTTATATACACTATAGTTTCATTAAAACACAATTACATTATCATTTCGATATAACTACGTACAGTTTCATTGCACAATATACACTCAAATATGTGAAATGTTATTCAGTTTCATTTTATATATACTGCAGTTCCATTTCAACACAACTACAGTTTCATTTCAACACAACTACAGTTTCAATTCAATTGCAGTTTCATTTGATGATATAAAAATAATACGTGAGGCAATGTCAATTTAGATACACTGTAGTTTCAGTTGATAATTAATACACCAAACATGCGCTCCGTTAACTATAACGGCGCGCCGTTTTTAGACCGAGGTCCACAGTATAATTGTTCATACAATACAGAGTCATTACAAATTGTGAATTTTTAAAAGGTAAGTTGTGAATATTAAGTATGTAAAACTTTATGCATTCTTCCAAAAGGCTGAATCCCAACCCTAAGGGCCCCCCACACTCCGACCCGACAGAGCATTTGGGAGGATGTAAAATTTTATGCATGACTACTGATTCTATTACAATGCAATATCTATTCACGTCCCTATTGAGGGGTTGAACTTATGAACATCCATTTAAAATAGTAACCGGGATGCCATTACAGTACACTACATGGTAGTTAACTATGGGTTAGTTGTAAAAATATTAAAAAAAAAAAACATCAAAAAATTTAAACTACATTTAAATAAAGAAAATCTGTAAATTTGAAAATAAAAAAGCGCACGAAAGAAATTAAAACAACAGTTTATTCGGAGTGCTACTGCTGAGCATGCAGCCAATGAAGCACTAGACCGAACTCTTGCATTTCTTGAATTGCATGCATGCCATTATCAACTTAACCTAAGCTAGCTTCCTGTTCTCATGGCTTTTGGGCTGAGCTTTTGGAGGAGGAAAACGGACACGGATCCGCTGCATGATTAGGGTTCGACAAGTAGGACAGTCGTTCATTCCCAGCCTTTCGTGAAGCTCACTGCACTCTTCGCAGAAAGCCAGATGAGCGCATGGGAGGAGACCTACTGTTCTATCCACACTCAAGCACATAACACATTCCTTTTCGCGTCGTTTCATTTCTGCTGCAGTAGCTTTCTCAGAACTTGAACTTGAACTACTTTCCGGCCCTAGTTTACGTGCAGAGATTCGAGCTCTTAGCTCCTTCATGCATTCCTCATACTTAACCCTATTCTCTTCTGTCTTTGCTATCAACTTATCCTCCTCCATTTTTGCCTTCTCATTCATTTCTTGCCTTTCCCTCCTCAGCGACTTCGCCTTCTCCAGAAGCTTTATCTTCTCCCTCTCTTCATTCTGTCTGAGAATCTGCAGAAAGATAAGTTAACACCCATATATGACAGTTGCCCAAAATTGTATATATGAGCCTCAAGGCAAATCAGAGAAACACTAACATTATGCAATTAATAATAAGCATATATATACCTCAAACTCATGTTCGCGCTTCCTAGCTTTATCTATTTGCTGCTGCAACTTGGCTGATTCGGGCTTGAGACGTGCAAGATCTTCCTGCAAAAACCTTATCTCCGCCTCCAATTTACTGCACTGCTTAAGCAACTCCTGTTCCCTCAGCTTAATCTCCTGCAAATTTTGATTTGGGGAAAGGAAAGCCAGTTTTGAATCCTCTAGCTTTTTCAGCAGCATGGTGTGCTCCTCCTGGAGCTTAAGATGAGTAGTAGTAGCCGTTTCCATCATGTACTTAGCATTGTTTAGTGCAACATCCAACTCATAAATGTTCTTCGCATTATGAGTCCACTTATCAGCACCCGCAGCCTCCTTGTCCTGCCTCAATATCTTCTTCTGTTCATTGTTTCTCATCAGCTTCTGAGCTGCCTGCCCGACTTTCGTGCTCGTCCAATCTCTCCATCCCTGCAACTCTACCTCCAGCTGCTTCTTGCGCTGCGTTAGGGCAGCTAACATTTCATCTTTCTCTGTGGTTTTGGGGGTTTCTGCAGGTTTCTTTTCTGAGATAATAATAATGCTCCTACTACTTTGGGTTTTCATTTTCATTTTCATTGTCACCTTCCTTGAGCTTGCAGGGGCTTTCCCGGTTACCTTTCTTCCCCGTTTGCCTCCTTCCAATTCTGGGACAATGGTGGTAACAGCAGGCATATCAAACACAGTGTTCTTCTTCTTCCCCGCCATCATCCCCTTCTGCAGAAACATGTCTTCTTTGGTGGAAGATGGAGATGATGATCGTTTTGGATTGGTGGAGCTAAAATGGTTTACAGACTGTGCTTCCCAGGCTGCTTGTATGAGGTGTATGAGGTTGAGATTGAATAAGAAAAGTAGCCACATTGCATCAGCCACAGTTAGATATGGCTTTACTTGTTTCACCACATTCACCATCTCCACCAAAGCATAATTGGCCAAGCTTTCCACATTCTTAAACATGTAGTGCTTAGAGGGATCAAACTCCTTCTTCTGCTTAGCCAGGAAAGCTATGGTAGCCGCTACAATGTTTGAAGTGATATCGTAATAGTTCCCCATATAAAACCCGCTATTCAGCACACCCCATTCTGCCTGCTCCATACTGTAACCATTTGCACCAATCTTCTTGATTGCTGTCTGGAAACAATCCCTCAATTTCTGAATTAGAAGTTCTTGAAGCTGGACTGCTAGGGGCTCTTCCCATTCTGCAGGGCTTTCTTCTTCTTCTTTCTCCTCCTTCACTTCAGATGATCGCTCCTTCCATGCCTTCACCTCAAGCATTTGTTTGTGGAGCGATTCTGCTAACGTTCCATAGCTCTGCAAATCCAAGTCAGGTAGAAGTAGGATATCGTCCTTGGAATTTGAAGTCTTTATTATCATCTTCCCCTTATCGCTGTTGTCTTCCATCACTACCATCTTTCCCTTGCCCTTGTCGCCTTTGCTGTTGCCTTCACCGGCTCCTCTTGCGATTGGGTTAACCATTTTTGCTGGGAATTCAAACAACTCGATCTTTAGCTGCAACTCGATGGAAATACAACACCAAATTCTAATTAAGATACACATAAATTAAAGATTAGAACAATAAGATGCATGTTTACTCTTACCACCCTGAATAAATAAATAAAAATAAAGTTCTCACTTAGCTTCCATAGATAAACAAAGAAAATGTAACATATACTCTCTCCCGCCCATTTTATGTGTCTGGTTCGGTTAACAATGTTTGACTAAATGTATTTTTATTTTTAATTTTTTTATAATATTAAGTTTAATACTCCGTATTAGTTAGGGATGGCAATGGGTCGGAGAAGGCTACATTCATCACCCGACCCACCTTATATTTTCTCCGCTCACCCCCACCTTCAACCCGCATCGGGTGGATTTTTTCAAAACCCACCCCACCCCACCGGGTGCGGGTGCCTACTACGGATATCCACCACTTATTATCTTATTATTTTATTCAAAAATAATATTTAAATTACTTACACTGTTACCCATAATAAAATAATAAAATTTATTAGTGATAATAAAACTTAAAATAATAGAAATATTTAAATATAATAACTACATTGTTAATTTTTAAAAATAAACTTAGTAGTTTAGATATAAAAATAGTAAAAAGATACACGAAGTTATATAAATTTTTATAAATAACTACATACTAGTACTTATTTTACTATTATATATACATATATACACACACATGCATGGTGGGTCAGGTGGGGTTCTAGACGGGTTTTGTACATAGAACTCGAACCAACCCGACTCACTGCGGGTTTACTTTTTAAAGATCCACCTCGACCCACCACCCACCATCACCCAAAAAAACCTGATCCATGCGGGGTGGATTTGGGTGAATTTTCGCGGGGCGGATTGAAATTGTCATCCCTTGTATTAGTGTACAAAATTTATATATTTAGAAACTACACTAAAATACTATTAAACACAAAAAATCAAATTTAAAAATAAGTAGGACAGATAAAATGAGACAGAGGGAGTAACATCTAATTTTTTTATTTTTTTTTCTGAGGGGACCCTCCAATTTTAATAGATCAGAAATTTACGATATTTTAAAAGATACCCAGAGAGAAAATTAAACAAGCACATATACCTTTTGATTTTTTTGCAAGTGTAGAACGGAAAAGAAGTAGTCCTCACTCCCCTGCAACAAAATCAAGTACGAATCCTCAATAAAATTTAAGATGAAAAAAAAAATTATTGAGAAACATATCAGAAAGACTAGAAAAATCATATATATATATATATATATATATATATATATATATATATATAAAGTTTTAACATAAGGTCTAATTCTAACAGTACAGAGCAAGAATTCATGAAATTTTAAAAGAAAATGGGAAATGGATAAATCAAAATCAAATTAATTATGTACTAGACTAACTCAAAACAACAAAACAAGAAAGAGGAAAATGAAAATTAGGCCGGAAAAAAAGACTACAAGAAATCAAAGGCTGGAAGAGTATTTCTAGAATCTAACACCAAGTGAAATAAAAATTGAAGAACAATAATTAAACATCAATGAAATAAATTAGAGCAAGAACTTGAAAAAGTTCAATTTCAAATGAGACTCGCCAAAACACCGTTTAAGCAAATAATAACAAATTAACAAGCAAGGAACGAAGTTTGAGCAACGGAGGCTATATATAAGAAGTCAATGGCGAGATGAGGTGTCGCTTGCGTGATTTTTTGTTTGGTGGTACTTTGAAACGGTTTGACGTTAAGTTTCAATTCACTTTTTAATTACTTATTTGGGTTTCTATTTTACTTTATCCGGAGGTAGCTAAATAAAAATTTAAGGAAAGTCTATTACGCTAATAGCCTCTATATCTTTTACACTTAATATAATCTTGTATTGGGTTTTGTCTTTTAATTAATTATTACTTATTTGGGTTTCTATTTTAATCACTATATCCGGAGGTAGCTAAATAAAAATTTAAGGAAAGTCTATTATGCTAATAGCTGCTATTTCTTTTACACTAATTATAATTGTGTATTGGGTTTTGTCTTGTAATTAATTACTTATTTGGGTTTCTATTTTACTTTATCCGGAGGTAGCTAAATAAAAATTTAAGGAAAGTCTATTACGCTAATAGCCTCTATATCTTTTACACTTAATATAATCTTGTATTGGGTTTTGTCTTTTAATTAATTATTACTTATTTGGGTTTCTATTTTATCACTATATCCGGAGGTAGCTAAATAAAAATTTAAGGAAAGTCTATTATGCTAATAGCTGCTATTTCTTTTACACTAATTATAATTGTGTATTGGGTTTTGTCTTGTAATTAATTACTTATTTGGGTTTCTATTTTACTATATCCAGAGGTAGCTAAATAAAAATTTAAGGAAAGTCTAATATGCTAATAGCCGCTATATCTTTTACACTAAATATAATCGTGTATTGGGTTTTGTCTTTTAATTAATTACTTATTTGGGTTTCTATTTTACTATATCCGGAGGTAGCTAAATAAAAATTTAAGGAAAGTCTAATATGCTAATAGCCGCTATATCTTTTACACTAAATATAATCGTGTATTGGGTTTTGTCTTTTAATTAATTACTTATTTGGGTTTCTATTTTACTATATCCAGAGGTAGCTAAATAAAAATTTTAAAGAAAGTCTATTATGCTAATAGCCGCTATATCTTTTACACTTAATATAACCTTGTATTGAGTTTTGTCTTTTAATTAATTATTACTTATTTGAGTTTCTATTTTACTATATCAAGAGGTAGCTAAATAAAAATTTAAGGAAAGTCTATTATGCTAATAGCCGCTATATCTTTTACCCTTAATATAATCTTGTATTGGATTTTGTCCTTTCCCTACAATGTTTCACCTTAATTTTTTTTTTTTCCAAAGAGTTATATATACATACATAGAAATACTGAAATAGTATATAAGAGAATTGCTTTTGACAATAAAAATAAACACAAAAATTTAAAAGTAAAATTAAAACTAAATATTACATCATGAATGATGCAACATTCACATGCTAATATAGTCAATTTCCTATTTATAAGTTTAAGAATTAATAGGAAACTAATTAATATATTCAAATGAATTTAATTTGGAATATACCAACGAAAATATGCAGCAATTATTAAAAGAACAATATTAAAAGAAAGACCATATATGTACGTATGTATGTGAGTGTATATATACACACACACATAGATTATTTACTATAAAAATAAAAGTATAAATAATTTGAATTAATTTTTGTTAATGGAATCAAACACAAATTGAACAAATGTGGTATGTTTAATTTAAAGCATACTATTATATATTGACGTTAAATAATGAAATCTAAGTAATATTAGTTTGATATAATTTTTTTAAAAGTGCAAATGTTACATTCTATTTTCTAAATTTAAAAGATTACACATATACAATTATAATCAACTATGTTTAGTAAAATATTTAATTATATTATCAATAAATTAACGATTATAATTAAAATCAATTGATAACTATAAATTTTAGGGAAATATTTAATCATATGTTAATTCCAGATGAAAAAAAAAATTACGGAGAAACAAAAGGACTAGAAAAAAATTAGATCTTTACAGTTTACACTAAAAATAATTTATTTATTTATTTTAAAAAAACTTTCATTTCTACGGATAAACAAAGAAAGAGGTGTATTAACATAAGATCTAATTCTAATAGCGCAAGAATTTGCGGAGTTTTAAAAGAAACACAAGGAGAAACCAGCATACCTTAGGGTTTTATTGCAAGCGAAGAAACAAAAGTAGTCCTTTGATCTGCAACAAAATTGCCAGGACAATTAGTAAGTAAATTCAAGATGAAAAACAAAGATTATATTATAGAGGAATATGAAAATTAGGCTGATAAAAGACTACAAGGAATCAAAGGCTGAAAGAGTATTCCTAGAATCAAGGGAAATGAAGATTGAAGAACGTAACATTAATCAAACATTAACGGAATATATTAAATTAGAGCAAGAACTAGAAAAAGTTCAATTCAAATGAAA